CCGCGTACTGAAGTTGTACTACAAAGTCGCCAGTTCTCATCTTCCAGGTCGCCAGATACTCCGCGTACTAAAGTTGTACTACAAAGTCGCCAGTTCTCAGCTTCCAGCACAGATTGCTCCGCGTACTAAAGTTGTACTAGAAAGTCGCCAGTTCTCGTCTTCCAGCTCCCCAGGTACTCCGCGTACTAAAGTTGTACTACAAAGTCGCCAGTTCTCACGCGTACTAAAGTTGTACGACAAAGTCGCCAATTCTCATCTTCCAGCTCCCCAGATACTCCGCGTACTAAAGTTATACTACAAAGTCGCCAGTTCTCAACGCACGATCCCCGCAGAGGGTTGCCCGCGACCGGGACAAATCGCACTCTCGCCTGCATTTCGTGCACTCGACACGCACGATCCCCGCAGAAGGTTGTCCCGGACCGGGACAAATCGCACTCTCGCCTGCATTTCGCGCACTCGACGCGCACGATCCCTGCAGAGGGTTGCCCGCGACCGGGACAAATCGCAGTCTCGCCTGCATTTCGCGCACTCGACATGCACAATCTCCACAGAGGGTTGCCCGCGACCGGGACAAATCGCAGTCTCGCCTGCATTTCGCGCACTCGACGCGCGCGATCTCCGCAGAGGGTTGCCCGCGACCGGGACAAATCGCAGTCTCGCCTGCGTTTCGCGCATCCGACGCGCACGATCTCCGCAGAGGGTTGCGTTTCGTGGCGGTCCGGTGGCACTGACCCCGGCCTTAAGAGAGAAAGTTAAGAAGAGCGAGAGGTGAAGATGTGAGATGTAGATGAGACGTAAAGATGTGAGATGTAGATGTGAGGATGTGAAGATGAGCAGAGATGTAGATGTGCAGATGTGAACATGAGCAGAGATGTAGATATGTGAAGATGAAGATGAGCAGAGATGTCGATGTGAGGATGTGAAGATGTGCAGAGATGTAGATGTGCAGTTGTGAATGTAGATGTGAAGATGAGCAGAGATATAGGTGAGAATGTGGATGTGCAGAGGTGAAGATGTGAAGATGTAGATGAGACGTAGTTCTGCAGATGTTTTTTACGAAGAACCCTTCGCAGACGCTCTCGGGAAAAAGAAGAATTACTATCTTTGATTTATGAAGAAGTAGAAGAAGATATTAGAGTTAAACTTGATATTGAAGTCCAAATAGTAGCAACACTCCCAGATAAAGAATACGGAGACAATGAATTTAGTTATAGAGAAGTTTACTTCATGAATGATTTTGAATATATAGATGAAGATAATATAGATGATATTGAATAAAGCAGATGAAGAAATAAATGACATAGAAGAAGACAAAGATAAAGATAGTATATCAGGAATACAAGCATATTTACTACTAACATATTTCTAATAATATGTATTTATTAGAATTATTGATTTGTAAGATCGGATTATTAAAAGTTAAGGGTTTATCTCTATTGTTGTTTGCCGTTTTGTCTTATATGGTGTTCTTTGCTTGGTTTGTTTTTTTTGGTTGTTATGGGAATTCTTGGAAAAGACATTTAAGAAGATAACTATATTTATATGTATTGGATAAATTTGTCAGATACTGTGCTAAAGATTTACCAACTGATATTTTTGAAGATGGATTGAAGGCTTGTAAGAAATGCTTGAAATACAAGAGAAAGAACTATGAGAAACATAGAGATAAAGTGAATGAAACACGACGAACTACATATAAAGAACGTGAAGAATATAGAAAAAAGAACCAGGAACAACTACAAAACTATCGTGATAAAGTTGCCTTTTGTAATGTATGTAAATCATCAATGAAGGCACAATGTTATTCACGACATTAAAAACAGAGAAGCATAAAAGAACTTTAGGAACGGTTGATGGATAGGATTTTGTAAACTGAATGAGGTAATAAAGTTTTTGACCGCGATGATTTTGAAAGCTGAATTAGGTAAGTATGCTTTGACTGCTATGATTTTGAAAAATGAATGATGTAATTATGTTTTGATATTGTTGATTAAAATGAAGCAATCAACAATATTTAAACTGACTTTTTGGACTGTTATGTTGTTATTGAATAAATTTTGATTTGTTATACTGCTATGATATTAGTTTAGAAAACTTCACTCAATCATTTTTTTTTACATTTTTCCCCTTCCATGTAAGTGATTCGACGTGTATAATCTTTAGATCTGCAAAATACAGATCCGCAAAACCGGCCAAGACATACATGGACAATGGATTTGGGAAGTTTCCTTGTAAGCCAGTCTTTTCAGGGGATACTTGATGATACCCGATGCACACTCGGGGATGAGCATGGTGTGCAATTGCAAGGGTACTCCAACAATCTTTGCACAGAGATTCAGAGATGATCACCTGTGATCAGTCGCCTAAGTGCTGTAATTCATCAACAGAAAACTATTCATGATTTGATCATTTTGGTTACCGGTACATGTTCCAACCACCCTTTCAGGTTTCCGTTGTCTTCGTCCAGTCTACCGCCCTGGCGGCGCCAACCGCCCTTCCAGGTCAGCCGAAGCTGGTGAAGGTGCAGCCAGAGGGAGCACCTCAGGCACGTTCTCGGCGGAACAGGTGGAAATGAGCCGCAAGCGTAGGTGGTAGCTGATCCTTTGATCATATTTGGTCTGTAGATCTCGGAGAACAGAGATGAAGCGAACCAGTAGCAAGGTGCATCGCTACTAGTTACTAGTAGCACATGGTGGTTGGATGTGGGTGAAACGAACCATGACCTCCTGCTTCAGGGTCGAGCCGCATGGCAATCTCTGAGACTCACGACGGCAGAACTGAGACTCACCGGCTTTCCTTCGGAACATCTTCCGGCCCAAGGGCCCAACGAGATAATAACTTAGCTGTTCTTGGTAACGAGTGTCGTTTGCAGGTGCTTTTTGAACTACCATAATAGCATCTACTCAATGATGGTGTGTTCAGTGGGTGACTAAAGGCAAGTCTTGTCGCGTACTTCGACGCAGTTGCATTGTCGCACATAAGATCCTCAATTTGGACGACCAGGGTGAATGCTCAGCGCAGAGGGACATAGGGCATCATTTACAAAAGCCAGAGAACCATGACCAAGAATCCTAGGTATTAAAGATTATTAAAGTGTTGAAACTCTGATTTTGCTGGACACCCTCCCTTTGTAACGTTGTACAACTCAACCGCATGAGCATGCCCGTCCTATGAAGAAGCCTCCGTCCGTGCATCAGTCACGGACGCGGGACTCCTCAGGGCGGAGCACCGGCACCAGCACAAACCTTTGACTGGACCAAAGTGGATTCTTGCGCTGATTTAAGCAGGTCTTTTTTGTAGTGTTCTTCATGTTTTTTTGCATCTGCTTTTTGGTGTTCTTGGACAGCTTGGTAGGCCAAGTTTGCCTGCTTGGCTGGATTTGGCTGGCCTTCACAGCTCACTGTATATACTTCTATGATATTCTAAGATAACGCTTGTGGTTTGACTGCCTTAAACGTCTTTGGGAACCGGGGTTTGTCAACTATGGTGTTGAATCGATGAATGGTTTGATCGAGCTTTGATGTAGGCAAGGCAAGCCAACAGTGCGAGTATTACATGGGTGCATATTAGAATTGGAGTTCGACCCCCTGGAAGAAGGAACATTAACCACAACCCATTGGTTGGGTGCCTCCGTATTAAAAATACAGACCTACATTTTGCGCATGTAGATGAGCTGTTGCACTTCACCAGATTCAGAGATGTTAAACACATGCCACGAATCACCAGCGCATGGTTTTTGGCATGACTTTATGAATCAAGTCAAGGTTTGGCATTTGAGTCATCGTCTCACAGCCTGACTCCGTTGTTTGTGCCGTTGTAGGGTGATTGATGGATCATGGTGTGAGAGATGAAACAACACGAACGATCATGAAGTGATGTTTCAAGCAAAAAGGGGGCTTCAAGGAAAGATCGGTGGTCATGAAGCTTGTATGGCACCATGAATCAACATGATCAAGTGCCAGTTCCATTGTGAATGGCACGATCTTTCCGAGCCACCAAGGATTGGTCAAAGATCTTCCAGAATCAGGGCTGGAGTTCATCGATGCTTGGTGCCGATGCCCTCACGGGGTCGATGTTGGTATCCTTTTCTTTGGTCAACCAATGCCCTAAGGCCAATGCCCTAAGGCCAACCTTATAGCATCTCCTTGGTTTTTTCTGCCAAGGCCCTGGGCGATCGCATATGGATCAGTTTCTATTTTCGTGATTTTCATGAGAGTGCCCAATGGCAGCGCTCTTTCGGAGTTTGTCTCCGCGTGGGAATGGCGGATGGAATTGGTCATGGTCGAAGTTCTATCAACAATCATCATGTCAAAACTCGTAATTATTCCCATTTGATGATCCATTTGCACGAAAAAACACAACCTTCTGACCAAAAAAACAAGTGACAGTATGAATACAGCTTCCTTCAGGCACTCAAGGAGTTGCATACATATCATGCATAGAGGGAGTTGCCATTTAGAGCCTGAAATCAACCTTCCCTTGCCCAAAGCATCGCTTTGCACAAGCCACGTTTTTTTCGAACATATATAATCATATATATATATATAGACTCTACTTCCCAGATTGGCCAAACAGCCCTGCACTACTTACCTGCTTAAGTCACTGGAGAGTCAGCAGGACTCAGACAATTTCCCAGACTTTGTCCCATACAAACCATTTTTCACTCCTTACCTCCTTTGGTCCGGTAAGGTACCCCCCAAATCCCCCAGCTCCTTCAGTCTCCCACTTCAAGCCCTGGCCCCCGGGGCCCTCAGCAAGGACCGATTGGTCCAAGTTCGACTGGAGCAAGATCTACGGTGCATCCGCGCCCGCCGCGCCGGCGCCGGCACCCCCAACTGCCCAGCCGCTGGGTCTCGTGAGACGTTCGGAACTCGCCGCGCGGGTACCGAGTGCCGTGTACACACCCCGAAACAAGGACATGGGTAGAGTACCGTATGGTAGATATGTTTACTTGTCAGTATGGAGTCTCAGCATATACAATGAATGCAGCGAACCAACACACTGCATGGAATCTTATGAACTAGTGCGCAGCTTGACATGTATTTGCATTGTGACTTCAAGGAGCAGAGGCTGAAAACTTGTTGTCCAGCACAAAGATACTGATGTACCTTTTCTTGCAACTCCACACAAGTTTTAGAGGCAACTCCCAGACACTTTGAATGTCTATTGATGGCCTTTGGCATGTGAATGGGGACTATTCGAGTGGAACGGTGGATCTATATCAAGTGTCTCAATATGAGGGCATGCACCATGTATGTTCATGATTCATGGTTTTACTCCAGGGATTTTCCCGGGCACGCAGTGTGAGGAATATACTTGACGCCCCGGACGTGCAAGTAAATCACGGAAAGACTTGGCGTTTAGAGACTTTGGACGTCTTGTTTCTGCCGACGACTTGGGCGAGGCTGGCGTCGGTTTGATCCGAGGCTGGCGATACGTTGATTAGGAAGACTGTATCCTGTAGCTTGCATAAATGCAACTGCCAGTTCTAGCCAACGTATGCTACAGCCATGTTTTGCTGGCAGTGTTTCGTCAGGCCATGCATGGTGTGTGAAGTGAAGAGTTTCCAGACAGCCTTAGCCAGGAGACAACCCTAAATACATGCAGCGAACACAACAGGCGTGGGATCATTCAGAGGAAACAGGCGCCGTAGTGCTGCTGATGATTGCATGATTAAGGACAGTCAGTAAGGTAAGGTGCCTTGAATGTTTGGAGCTAGATACAGGAAGGCAAGGGCAGAGGAAGCGAACGGATGATTTCCAAAGAACACCGTTGTTGCTGGCCTGGTCAATTTGTACCGACAACTTGACTTTTGGCGCTTTAAAGCTTGACTGTATAGCTTTGTCCGCTATTGTGAAATCCATGAATATTCGACGTGGATTACACATAGTGTAACAATTAATGCACGAAACGGCTGCCTAGTGGATGTGGGGATAAAGCTCTATTTATCCGCATGACAGGAACATCAATCATTAATAATCTACAAGCATGTGATTGCATCCATTCCAATGACGCTAAGCCACTAAGCACGTCTTCTTTGGTACTCCATACGTTGTGAGATCCCCCAAGTCTCCCAGTTCAAGAGCAGGTGTCACGCCATTCGCCCTGTTGACATCTTAGGTACGACTGGAGCAAAATCTACGGTGCACCAGCGCCCCCACCACCGTCGATGGGTGCCTTGGTGTGGACACCGGATGCACTGCTTGCTTCTCGCTCATTTCAAAAGAGACTGAGTTTGAGAAGGAACTGAGAAGGAACTGTGGAACACCCTCTGACGGCCGGGTCTGTGGAACAGTGCGGCGTCGGTCGATGGTCCGGACCTTTGGAGACTGTCCGGACCTGCAGGAACGAAAGGTCGGTGGGCAAGACGTATTTTGTCCACCAAGTCCTTTTTCTGTTCGTCTGCAAAGTAGAGGTAGTAGAGGTCTATAAGTATACTGATGTGTATAAGTAATGTATATTTTCTAATAGACGTCTCTTTGAAGATCCCGAATGCCCTTTTCTTTCCGCAAGCTTAGTCCACGGCAATCCGAGTCTCTCTTCCCAGGCTACGGCGGCATGCCATACGGCCAACCTGGGCCTGGGCGCCCAATGCGTCTGCGTTAGTACTTCGAAACGATCCTGAAAGAGGTTTAAAGACGATTAGCTGACTATAGACGAGTCATAGATGGCCTTTTACCATCCGTTGGTTGATGTATTTGGCGATTTTCTCCCCCGGCCAAGTGTACCACCATTAGGTACCGAACTGACCCAATGACTTCAACCAAACGGACCGGAACAGACCTCCGTGCCGTCAGGACTCCGTATGCCTACGGATATGGGATGCCGTATTGGAGATGAGCCCGGTTGAACGGAAGGCGAAGTCTCTGGGGTCAGAAACAGATGAGCTGAGAGTTGGAGAGTCTCTGTCGGGATGAGAACTTGGACTTGTCAACTTCGCAATGACCAAACAGTTGGAACGCGAACACTTCGATTCCTTTACCATCCTGAATAACTCCGAGATGAATCCTTGTTTCAACTACTGGCGTCCTAGATGTGGAAACCCGAGTCGTGACGGTTGAGTCGTACCAGACCGGTCGACCAACGTTCAAGTTCTGTCAAGTTCTGAAGAATGATACTGAACCTCGACGAACCTCAAGGCAAACAAGAACAGATCCATACAAAGCAGACGAACATGACCATCGGATGAACTGCTTTTGGGAGATCAATCCGGCATGCTCCGTCCAAGTGGCTCCGTTGATCCGGTCAGGCCCTTTTGATTGGCGAAGCAGTGAGGCGAAATCGCCAGACCGGACCGTCAACCAGGGAGGACATGACCGGTGCAGGTTGACACATCCAGCGGTCGACCGAGTGTGGAATTGGCGTCCAAAACCGATCAACATGGCATATCCAGTATCCAGTGGTATCCAGTTATGCACATTGATCCTCCAAGTCCATCGAATCGAAGGCCATCTGGGATTCCTGGCTGGTCCACGATCGGCAGAGGCCCAGGGTCATGGCCCAGTCGAGGAATTCGCGCCGGTCATTGACCAGTCTTCACCCGCCAAAAGGGCGTGGGAGGCCGTGGAAAGCGCGGAAAGCGGTTTCCGCTGTGGCCGGGATGCGAGTGTGCAAAAGAGGATGCGCTGTTGGAATATGTTGGAACCGGGAAAAGATGGGAAATGTATGGAAAAGTAGAAACACTGAAAGGATGGAGAGGACCGGTGTGGTCGCATTTGTGGGTGGCGGGTACTGAGGTCATCTTGGCCAATGTTTCACCGGCACAGATATGCATGCAAGAGACTATCTCGACGTGGCTTGGAGCGCAAGTGGAGGTCGAGGTGAAGATGGTGGAGTCAGAGGGTCGAGACGTGCCTTGGGGACACGATATGGACAGGATATGACAGGATCAGGAATGATTCTGGATGATTGATGATGGCAAGACATGTGGCTGGATGTTTAGACAGGATATGGCAAGACATGTGTTGCAATTATGAACCAAGCAGATGAACAGATTGAAGTGCCGAATGATAATAGACATCTTCAGTTCAGAGCGTCAATGTGCATGCCACACACTGGCAAGCCACTCCCCAGAAGCACATGAGGAACGGTTCCAAGCGACAGCTTGTGTCATGAATTAGGCGTTCTTTGGCAAGAGTCTCCTTCAATCAATGTGGTTGTGTATTCAAATAGGGAGACCTCCAAAAGACCTCCTGGAAGAAGGAAAATAGACCAAAACACATTGGTTGGGTGCCTCCCTATTGAAATACACACCCATGTGGTACAGTTGTTTCTGGATGAGTCATATTCACCATCTTGCCGAGGCCACCCCAGAAGGTTTGCCTGGCACTGTGACACATGAAAAACACACATAAGAATCTGTGAAAGAGTTGCACATGGTTTGATGTTGAAATATGTTCAAGTGTTGTGGCTAGTGACTCCAACGACTGTGACCATCATTTGCTGGAAATATCGTATCTGTGGCTACTGAAATCCTATTGCTGGACTGTACAGGTATGGTATGGTCGTTATGGTGCTTTCTTGGTACCGACACCGATCAACGACCCCGGGAAAGACTTTAAGAGCAACAATAGACTACTTAGTTTCTTTCATGATCCAACTTTGTAGCACGGGATACTTTTTGGATCTGAAAGTTCGTTTCTTCAGATTCATCACTTCCTGGCCTTTGTCTACCGAGGACTGTTGATTTGCACGATATTTTGGTGTTGATCACGTGAGAATCCGTCGGCCAGACCCGGGGATTTGAACTCCAGATTTTGCTTTCCTTCCAAAGCACGGGCAAACCGCTGGGCTTTGGAACCGCCCCACAATCCTGCTATATCCTACTCCGAAACCGCTAAGGTGCCAGTGCGAGAGACAGAATCGCTCGCACTCAGGTTGAAGTTCGCCGCCCGAGCCAAGCACATCCGCTGCACTGTGGTGCGGAACGAGGCAAAGCGTTGGGGTTCGAACTGGGGGATCGAGGAATTGGCCAAGGCTCCCGCTGTTCGCGGAGCCCAGCAGAGCTCCTGGCGAGTCAGCCGTTTACATTTATATAGTTCTTTTGACTCAGACGTATCAAATGCATCGAAGGGAATTTTATGAGAGAGGGTTCATGATTCACCTGTATCCTTTATCCTACTTTACTGTGCCCGCACTCAAACAAACACCAAGGCCACAGGAGGGCCAGATGATGAATTTTTGTCCAGTGGCGCTCTAGAGGTCTTTGTGTTGAGGTAGCAAAGCTACCTCTTTTGAGGTCCACGTAATGCCTACCAAGTGGTAGGTGATCTTATAATCAATGCGAGAAACCAGTTGACATGGAGAACGTACTAGCATCTTATTAAGTTGGTTTACACTGGGCAAGGTGTTTGGGGCACTCACAGACATGGTATTTCTCGAGCAAAGATGATCATGCAAACTGCAACCCATGCTTCGCAGATGTGACAATTGTGGGGTTCCCCAGGCTGGAATTAGTTCCACTCAGCTCTTGAGCGGCTAGGGAGCCAGACATTGGACGATTTCCAAACATTTTGTCGCAATCATGTCCAGAATTTGTTTTTTCTCTCCCAGAGTTCGGCAGGGCTTAGGGAAACAAGAAGACCGATCTCAGGGGTGGCCGTGTAGCCCTACATGGCGCGCGGCGTCAGGCCTTCAGCGGCACGGTGGAAAGCCTGATGGAAGAGGCGACCTTGGAGCGTCGGAGCCAGGACGAGTTCGAAGGGCCCCTGAAGGTCTGAGGAGGGACATCCCCAAGCTGAGGTTTGCTGGGCGATGGACTCTTACACGGGCCTCACCAACATGTTTGGGCAGACTGTAAGCTTCGTTGAAAGGCTCACTTGCAGACTTGATTCAGATCCTGCGAGGGCTGGTGAACCTCAGGTTTGTCAAAGAAATCCGTGTGGCTTTCGTGACTTTGTGTTTTCACACCCTCTCCGAGACGTTCGTTTCGATCCATTTTTGGTGCTGGGTCGAGCCCCTGCTGTCTCGAGCGGGTCGGCTGCCGGTCGCAGGTGAAACTCTTGCGGAAGGATCTGGCACATCTCAGCGGTGCGGAACTTGGGATCGGACCGGGGTCGGATGGACCTCCTTCCGGGGTCGGTCATACCAAGGAGCTGTGCGATCCGAGCCTCCGAGGTGATCGGATCAATGCTCAGTGTTTGGATGTGAAACTGATTGAAACTTCATCACTGTGTCACTATAACTATATATTATGTTTCACTGTTTGAAAGCCATGATTGAAAGTTCGGTGGCAAGAAAAGGATCTCAGGACTAGGGGACACTGTGATCATAGTTCATGCATGTTCATGCTATGATTCCATGATATTGATCTATAGGATATCCCAGATCAGTCTCGACTTGACATTGAATTGAGATCAAATTGAGAGGTTCCTCGTTTAGTTCAGCGCAATGCACCCAACAATCACCCCAAAACTTGTGGGTCGATTCGTTTCCTTTGCTTTTCTTTACATCTTCAGATCCATCGCCCTCTTTAAATGGCTGTATTGCCTGTAGCACTTCGGACCTTGCCACACAGAGCTGTAGACCAGGGACCTCGTGGGACTTGCATCCGAGACGCTTGGTCGCCTCAGCTTCCGAGGCTACCACTTCGAGACGTCCTCCTTAGGGCCGCAGCTCCAAGACGTTGGCTTTGTTTGAGCAAGAAAATCAAGCTGTTTTTTGTGACTTCGCATGAAAGTGAAGCTGGGGGAACAGTAACTAAGCTTGAAACAAACTATAAAGTTCCTCCTTTACTCGGATGATTTGGCGTGTTTTGGTGTGTGCTTAAGGGCTTACTCTCTTTTGCTTGAGCTGTTGGACTTACATCCAATTTCCTGGTCACACTAGATAGCACACCATTTTTGTTGCAGCCAATTATTGTCGGTTGATGTGAAGGGGTGCAAAAGACCCAACAAACAAGTCTGATCTGCGTCTTTTCCGCGCGCCAGTAAGGCTTGACTTCCCGCAACATGTCGAGGTCCGGGGCGAGAACGTCAAGCACTGACTGTGCTCGAAGCACTGGCCAACAGTCAGCAGTGTGAGCAAACTGCGTGCACATCCCCAGTAGATACTGTACTGTAGCTTCTAGCTACGTTCGTAGCTTCTAGCACTTGTTCCTATAGGTAGCGATGCCCGTGTGACTAGTGCACATTCTGGTTGGTCTTGGCCAATGATTCTGGATGTCAAAGGCTCAAAGGGGTTTACACATGTGTGCACGTCGAGACATCATGGATTCGAGACATGGCGATGCCGGGTGTCAGTTTGAATCATGGCTGAAGGTTTGGTGAATCGAGACGGGTTTTTCAGGTGGTATATAGGATTTTGTTCCGTGAACAGTATATCCATTTTCATTGTTAGTTACATTTAGCATATCTGCTGCCACACACAGTTTCTAGCACGCGTGGTCCGCAAACTGGTAGGATTTGGTTCGGGATATGTCTGGCATCCCATTCGATGGTTTTCCCATGAGCTGACTGGGAAGTGTCGGATTCACCTGCAGGAGCCTGAGGCCGAGGATTCCGAGGCGGTTCCCGGTTCGGGTCGGTGACCTCCGTGGACATGAAGTACGAGGGAAGAGGGTTGATGTCGGTCACCCAGAAAGTGACGAAGATACAGATAGGCAGGTTAGAGGGAGGTGGGATGGAGATGGATCAGGTTTTATATCCTCCAGAGGTTACAGGTTTTATAGGATTGGAGGAAATGGAGGCCCGCTGAAGCTGTGGACATGGGGGAACTCAGCAACTCATGAAAACACCCGTGGTGGATGTAGGTGAACAACCGGTTTGTCCATACCAACAAATGTTGGGTTGTAGTAGTTCTGAGAAAGGGTACCCTGTGGAATACTGGACATACTTCTACCCACGGCACTCAATTGCAAACATGTGCGGGTCCTTTGTCAATGGCCACCTGGTGGTTACATTGGGGGTGGATATTTTGCGGAAGCTTCGCAACCAAGGTTACACTGGTACACTGCCTAGACTTCAAGAAGCACCACTACTACTGCTGCTGCTACTACTACTGCTGACTGCCACATGGCAGACCTGATGACCTTCGGAAGCCGCGGTGTCTTTTCGGGCGTGGCCCAAGCGGTCGCGGTCGCCGTCGCGGTGTGCCGAGAGCGGCAATGGTGGAGCTGTGCTCGGCGATGTCGGGTGAAGTGGTGGCACAGCTGGCTGCCATGGAGCTCGAAGAGAAGGTGGTGAAGGAGTTGAAGAGGCATTTTGGATGGACAACTAGGACATATTACCACCTAGCTGTGGGGAGAAAACTGGAAGTTATTGGTAATTAGGCTTTGAGCTGCCAGTGGTTTAGGGTCCATCTTCTATTCTTCTATGAATTACTGTAGTAATTAGTACCTGAATGTGTGGACATGCTTGCGTTTGCCGATCGAAAAAAACATACTGCGCGTGCAGACCCCGAGAGAAAGGGTGAATCCGGACATGGCCGGCTCCGTCGAAATTACTCTACTTCGAGTGATCCCCACCATGACATTTCAAAACAGCCACATTAACATCACCCTCGTTGTGTATTTCAGCCCATAGCACAAGTCCTTCAGCGCCAAGTCTTACTGTTTTGTCCGAAGCGAATGCTTTCATCAGGAGACCTGTGCCCAACTAATAATACAACTCAGATCATTTCAGTAGTAGTCATAATACTGGGCGGCCCAAAGCTAGGAAATTTCCGGGGCCCGAGCAGTTGGAAACTTTCGGGGCCCTAGCAGGAGTAGTAGTGGTACTAGTAGTAGTGGTAGTGGTAGTGGTAGTGGTAGTCGTAGTAGTAGTAGTCGTAGTCGTAGTCGTAGTAGTAGTAGTCGTCGTCGTCGTAGTAGTAGTAGTGGTGGTTGTGGTTGTGGTTGTGTTTGTGTTTGTGGTTGTGTGTTTGTGGTTGTGTTTGTGGTGTTGTGCTTGTGGTGTTGTGTTTGTGGTGTTGTGTTTGTGGTTGTTTTTGTGGTGTTGTGTTTGTGGTGTTGTGTTTGTGGTGTTGTGTTTGTGGTTGTGTGTTTGTGGTTGTGTTTGTGGTTGTGTGTTTGTGATTGTGTGCTGTGGTTGAGGTCCGGCAGGGAACACTTGGGTCTGGAGCTCGCGGTTGAGGTCCGGCAGGGAACACTGCGCGCGGATGGTCGCGGTTGAGGTCTTGCAAGGAACACTGGGCGTGGATGGTCGTGGTTGAGGTCCGGCGGAGGAGGACGAGGCGGAGGAGGACGTGGAGGAGAAGGAGGAGGAGGACGAGAAGGGGCTGTCGTAAAATCTAACAACCCTCAAAGTCTTCGACCTTTGGCAGGTCAATCTCCGGATTTTCAGCACCAAGCCAGGCCACTTCTGGCTCCTAAGCCCTGGGTGATTCTGGTCCTCTCCAGGTTAAGCCAGCACCGGCCTCGTGGGCGGACCTCGAACGTCCGGTCTTCCACGCAAAAACGAGATCTTCTCGGCTCAGGCATGTGGCCAAGGCGATCGGAGCCTCGAGGTTTCAACAGAGATGGTTCTATGAAGACTACGCTGAGATTCTTGGAGCTAATTGGAGACATTTTTGTGGACTAAAAGACAACTAGTAGGACAACTAATCATTATGTTAACATCATGATGAGTCTACGTAAATTTCTTTGTGGATGTTTGTGGAGTATGTTGAATTGAATTGTTGTGATACTAATATAAGGAAGAGTTGTTGGATCTTCTTTGGTTCGAATCATTCATTCTTTCAATTTTGAGTAGTCCTCCAAAGGCTTCGACCCGTCCGCGATTTCTTGACCCCAAGGATTGGAGATGATGCGGTCTCTCGCCTCGTTTGGTTTTCTTTTTACAAGCGAGAGTACCCTTGGACCATCCAGGTAGGGAGATTGATCAATCAAGGCGACCTCAAATGGTTGGAAGGACTTATGCAAGTTGATTGCGAAATTGATCAATAACTTTTGCCACAAGTGTTTGGGGTGGAGGCCTCACCAGTCCAAAAATGCAATCGACTCTTCCAGGTGCGTTACAAGTTGCCATCACAAACATTTGTCAGGGTTGGGATATGAACTGAGTACAGAGAACCACGCCATTTGCAACTCAACGTGATGTACAGCGGCAATACAACCAGCCCAGGTTCTTCTACCTCCTTTGAAGGTGCTATTGGTGGTGCTCAGTCTGCTGGAAGATGAGTGCCAGGGTCAACGGCTCATCTTGGCATGTGTTGCAGATCGCTGGAAAGAAGTTGAAGTGCTACTGCAGAAGCCTTTGGCCCCAGACTTCATCCTTGAGAATTACCAGACGGCGCTGCACGTGGCTGCTGTGAACGGGCATGGCCAGTCCTTAGGTCTCTTGCTGGAAGCTGGTGCGGACAAAGACGCTCAGCTGTGCAAGCTTTGTTTTTTTGCATGACCTTTCCATTTGTTGGCTGGTAGCCACCTCAAATGGGGAACAAATAAGGACAAGCTTACCGCTCATGGGGAAACAGCACTGCATCTGGCAACTCAGAATCGACATCAAGGAGTGGTGCAGCTATTGCTTGAGGCTGAGGTTGACATTAGCACAGGCCGCGTGGCAGATGACTACCAAGCTTTGCATATTGCATCTTCACGTAATCACCAGGAGATAGTGCAGCACCTCCTTGCCGCCCGCGCAGACCACGAAGCGGTCACAACCAGTGGCCACACAGCACTTTCATTGGCAGCAGCCAGAGGTCATCTGGAAGTTGTCCGCTTGCTTCTCCAGACAAATGTCAAACACAAGTCCTATTCTCGGTGGGCAACAGCTTTGCATTTTGCAGCCTTGCGGAATCACGTGGAGATTGTGCAGTTGTTGCTGGAATTGGGGGTGAAAAAGGACGTGAAGATCATAGTAAATGATCAAACTGCGCTGCAAGTTGCAGTAGTCAATGGTCACCTGGAAGTTGTTCGGCTGCTGCTGCAGGCAGATGAAGATATAGATTATGACGCAGTGAATGGTAAGTCGGCCTTGTATTTGGCAGCCATGAACGGCCATGCGGAGATTGTGCAACTGCTGCTGCGATATGGTGCAAACACGGACCAAAGGCAACTCATTGGTGATGGCAGAACTGTTTTGCATCTTGCAATTCAGAAAGGGTATGTGGAAATTACTGAGATACTGCTTGAGGCGAAGGCTGACGCAGACAAGGCTGATAATGACGGCTTGACAGCTTTGCATGCCGTAGCTCAAACCGGCTGCCCAAGAATTACACAGCTGCTATTGAATGCCAAGGCAGACAAAGACAGACGTACTGATGACAGAAAAACAGCTTTGCATTTGGCAACTGCGAATTGCCACACAAAAGTTGTCCAGATGCTCCTCAAGGCTCAGGCGAAGCAAGATGAGGCGATGAAAGATGGGACGACTGCTATACACTTGGCCGCTTTGGCGGGCCAAACCGAAGTTGTACGCTGGTTCATCATGTTCCGTGCAGACATAGACAAGGGGAAAGTTGACAATGAAACGGCGCTGCATTTGGCTGCAGAAAACGATCACCTCCCAGTTGTACGGCTGCTGCTCAATGGAAATGCCGACAAAGATAGGGTGAAATCTGATGGGGCATCAGCTTTACATTTGGCAGCTGTGGAGGGCCATCTCAGGATCGTGGATTTGTTGCTGGAATTTGGTGCAGATCAGGAGTTGGTCAGAGGTGACAGCGGAACAGCTTTGCATTTGGCAGTTTGGAAAGGGTATTTTCCGATTGTGGTGCTGTTGCTTGGGGCCAAGGCTGACGCTGACAAGGCTGACAATGACGGTTTGACAGCGTTGCACGTGGCAGCTCAAAGCGGCTGCCCAAGACTGACACAGCGGTTGCTGAAGGCGATGGCAGACATAGACAAAGTGACTCATGATATGACAACAGCTTTGCATTTTGCAGCTGCCAGTGGCCACCTGGAAGTTCTTCAGATTTTGCTCAAGTGCGATGCTGACACAGAGACGATGAGATTGGATGACGGTCAAACGGCTTTGCACATGGCAACTGCAAATGACCATCCAAAGGTTGTCAAGATGCTTCTAGAAGCAGGGGCAAATAAAGATAGACCTACGAAAGAAGGGATAACTGCTTTGCATTTGGCAGCTACAAGTGGCCACACAGAAGTTGTGCAGCTGTTGCTGATGGCAGGCGCAAACACAACAAAGTCTTTGCACTTTGCAGCTGAAAAGGGGCACCTTGAGGCTGTTGAGATGCTGTTGAAGGCTGGTGCAAACAGCAGCGAGACTCGAATGGAGGATGGGGCAACGGCCTTGCACTTTGCAGCTTTCCATGGCCACCTTGACATTTTGCGGCTGTTGCTCGTGTTTGGTGGGGAGAAAGACGTGGCTATGAACAATGGTGCAACTGCTTTGCATTTGGCAGCTTACAAGGGCCACTTTGAAGCTTTGCGGCTCTTGTTAAGTTTTGGAGCTGATGCAGAGAAGCGCACAGCAGATGGGTTGACCGCCTCGCAAGTTGCTTCTTCGTGTGGCCACTTCAGGTGCTGGTCCGTTTTGACGACATGAACAGAGTGCGCTGTGCAGACAGTAGATTCAGTAGATGGGAGACATCATGAGGCAGCTCAAAGTCAAAAGTTTTGGGAGCTCGACTCTCGACCTACTTTCTACAAGGGAATTCAACATAATTTCTTACAGATGTTACCCATAGCAATTCAGACAAGTTTCAGCCGCATTTCCATAGTTCTGTGAGCTGACAATTCTTTCAGCCACTGCTTCCAAGCTGCAAAGTCCTTTCGAAACTCTCACACGCCATTGACTTTTTGTTCGGATGCTCGCATTTTCGGCAGTACTAGCTTTTCGAGGAGCTTGGGCAACCTTCTGACTAACTGGCTGTTCGAGCCGAAAGAATTCGTGAGAAACCCGGTTGGTGAGGAGACCAAAGCCTCAAGTTCCTTGGCATTCCGAAGTTCAACGTGCAAAGTACTGAAGGATCCAAGTATAAAACAGAATAGAACTACTCATTCTGTTGCACTAAGTACTGAAATGGATATGTAGTTCAGATATGCATCACTACTTCGTAAAGAAATGAAATCCAATTTCTGTACACCACAGGACCGGCTCTTCCACACCGCCGCCAGGATCAGCCCTACTTGAATCAACAGCAGCAGGTCGCACGCCTGGAGGCCACCGCCACCTCGCTCGACGTTCGGAAAGAGAAAAAGGGGATGAGGAAACGCTTGGCATTTTCTATACACTCCCGAGTCAACTCACATAGACCCTGACAACGGCCCCCTGGAAGATTGTTTTCCTCTGCCAACCAGTGGTTATCAAGGTCCATGTTAGTCTTCCAGGGTGTATTTCACGTTCCAATTATACATATATATATATGTATATTTATAGGAATTGAGGTGTTGTGCCTTGCGCAGTGGTGTACATTAAATAGTTGAGTAACAACCCTACTGTGAAAATCACAGGTGAATGAATTGTTGGTAACAACTCTACTGTTCAGAGCTTTCTTCTGACCATTTAACCTACTACCCTAATCAATATAGAAACTGCCCAGGCGGTCAGGAAGAAGTTTTCCTCTACATAGTGATAGTGAGTGTTTGTTCTGAGGAGGGTGAGGGCCATGAAACGACATCGGCTACCTTTCCTACCGCGATGACGAAGGTCTTATTTTCCGACTGATGCGCCCGTTTGACCTTTTTCTTCTGGATCCACTCACGTGGGGGGCGGCAAAAAGCAGGATCTAACAGTCACAGTCTGCGAATCTAGGACCAAACCAGCGTTTTTCATGCGAACATCGGGCTCTGGACAACTTGGAGGACCAATCTGGAGCAATGCCATAAACAAACGACCAATTGGTCGCTGTTTTACAAATGACCCTCTTCCAGGTGCTGTTGGCGGCGGCCCTGGAGAGAGAGCAGCAGGATCGGCGCTGCCTCGGGTCTTGGGCCCAACAAGAGCTTCAGCTGATGTCAATGGATGCAAAAAAGGAAGAAGGATGGATGCCATCTGAGTATAGATGTTTCCATATGCCCTAAAGCAGGTAGACTCAGATAGACCTTTTGGTCATGGTTTGGCCAAGTCATGGCCAAATTAGCTTCCTCTCCTGTTTGCGGACTCATGTTAGTTAAGAACGCGTCGACGCTTCTTCGATGCGAAAGGCGGATCAAAGGCAGCACCGTTTGCAACGCTTGGCAAAGTTCTTGGAGGACTGATCCTGGCGTCAGATATGAGGATCGCATATACCATACATACCTGGATCTTCCAACTGGCTATGCCAAATTGGCTGCCTTTTGGCTGGCTTTACGGATGAAAAGACAGACATGTTACATAGTTGGAAGATCCAGGTATAGATTCCCTGTAAGCTGTGGATTTACCATTATGAAACCCCCATTGGATTCCTACGGATACCCATGAAATCCCCGTGCAAATTTCCTTTAAAATGATCAACCATCCTGGGTAACAAAAAGAGCTTCGATTTTGTAAAAATACAGGTTCATTTCCAGGTACCCATTTTTTGGGGGGTGGGGTGATTGATTTTGTAAGGCCAGCATTCTTTCTTGGGGCTGTTGATTTTGTAAAGAATCGATATGTTGGTATGGATGTCAAAAGTGCCGCACTGGTGAGGGTGGGGTCCTTGATTTTATGCAAGTTTGAGGGTGGGGTGGTTGTCCAGTAGAAAAGCCCCAAACAGTATTACAGAATCAGATTTCTCAAGCCATTAAAAGCGGAAAAATCTTTACACAATCAAAAGTTCGAGCGTCTGGTGCCAATGGAGTTTGGATGAGGCCTTGCGGCAATTGAGGGCATTCTTGAGTCTTAATCCATGGACTGTCAGCTCCTTTTCCGTGCCTTAGTCATATAGAAGTTTCTTTAAAGGGCAAAGAAAGAAAGATACAAAGAAGATACAGTATAAATCTTTCCGTAAACAACGACATGTCGCCCATGCCGCAGGAACAACGCCAATCTCCAGAGAGAATGCCACACTGACGGTCCATTGTCCACTGCAGTAAATGCATTGCGCAAGGTCACATATTTGGAGATAGGCGCGGAAGATTCCTTGGGTGCTGATTCATCTACTGCACTGGCTGCTGCCACCTCAATGATACTGGATGCATCAGGGAGCGATTCCAGAAGCAACTTGTCTGAGTCAAAGACCTTTGCATGACCATCCTGAAGGGGAATTGAAAGGTCTGCGCTCGTTGCGCCATCCTGTTGAATGTTTCTCAGCAAGTCCCCGCATTCCTTGCCATTGTTGCTTCGGTTTCTTCCATCATGCCCATTTCATCATCTTCAGATTCAGCAGGGTGTGCCTGAAGAGATTGCCAATCAAACTCCATTCCTCCATCACTGCAGTATTTTTGGTACATCTCCTCCAGCTTGGCCACATCCAAACCAGAAGAGAAAGCAGCCAGCCGCAAAGCAGCCTTGTATCCATGTTCTCAACACTCACGGAATTCATTTGGAGTCAAGGGAGGCAATTTCTGGACGGAATACTTTTCTGGCTTATTGGCTGCCTGTTGTCGCCGCGCTTCCCCAACATGGCCCGCCAACATCCTCTTGCGTATGCTTGTGTGCGAAGCCGACCAAAGAACTCTTCAATAGAGATCTCACTGACACGGTTTGCGGAACGCCAGTAGTAACCTTGTGTAGCCTTTGTGTAGCAGATCGTCATCACCGTCAAACAGGTCGCATGCTGCAAATTCTCTTTCGTCTGTGGTGCCAAAAAGCAAGCTGTGTGAGGAATCCTGGCCCGTGCTGCTGTAATTCGTGAGAGCAGTTTGAAAAGGTCCACCAACACAAAGCCAGCGACGCTGTTCTCAGATCTGTCTTTGATGCTCATCCGCTGATGCCAGCAGGACACACACAAAGTCCAGATGCAACATTCAGCAACGTTTGTCACTATCTCTCAAGGATTTTCAAGCGTTGTCCAAGCACCAAATTCCAAGGATTTGTTCAATCTATTTGTTGATCTCTTGGATATTGTTGGCATGCGAGGTACGATGGGGTAGGTTCGTGTAAGTGATCCGTGGGACACTGCGAGAACGTTGAAAAAAAGGGATCCTATCGACTTGACGGACCTTGATGACGTCGCACCATTACAAAATCGTTAGCTTTTCTGTTCCAGGTCTGAGAAATCAGAATGTGTATCCTTTTTGAGACCTCACGGGGGTTGATTTTGTAATTGCATTCAGCCATGTCGACAGAGTGCATATGATTTTGTAAACACTTTTTTTTGGGGCTGGGATAGTTGATTATGTAGAGCTGTCCCTTACCTGCGTCCTGGGGGGCTTGATTTTGTAAAGCTTTTCAGATTGGCGAACCTGGGGTGCTTGATTCTGTGGCACATTTTCCTTGAAGAATCAACCACCCCTACATACTCCAGAAATTCGAAGAAGGATCCCATGAAGTATGAGAGATTCTTACGCCCAAAGTCTACCCAGTTCAATTTTGGGACGCCACACGGCACCGACCCCCCCCCCGCCGCCATGACGGTTTTGGCAGGATTTGGACTTCCGGAAGTGCAGTGGCTTGTCCGGGCCTCGCGGTGTTATTCCAATCGGGACGCTGTCACAACTTGTTGACCTGTGGGGGAAACGGGAAAGTGAAACCAAGCAATGACATGTATTAATATATTTGGGAGAAGACCTTCCGGGGTGTGTGACTCTGGTGAGGGAAGACTCCGGTGGACAGTTCACAAGCTGAGCACTTGCCATTCAAAGGATCATTACATCTATCCATCGACATTACATTGGACGGAGACATGTCGACCGCAATAGATTTGACTTGGCAGGAGAAAACTGCACAGTGAGTACATCCAACAGCTGGTGCCACAAATGGAGGTCCAGACCAGCGCGTTCCGCGCGGTCGGGGCCGTGTGCTGCCATTGCGCAAAGACGTCGGACCTATGAGGTCGGAGAACAAGGACCAGCTGAAACGGAGGGTGAACATAGGGGGTGTAGGTAGGTTGCAAAGCCTGGGCATGTCCCACTTCGATCCATATTGTGCTTCGGATTTGAGATGACTTCATCTACTGAGCTCTTGAAACTACTCGGCCAACGCCGTTGGTGGGGTGATGAGATATGTGATGCGTCGCGTGAGTGACGTTTCACCTGGATTGGGTGAGCTGTTGAATTCGTGTTTGTGGGTGTGGAGGTCATGGTGAGGTCCTGGGGGCGGTCGTCCGAACCAGAGCCCCGAACAAAAGGCATGAACATCACAGGACACACGATGAGCACTGGGTTTCTTGTCTATAACTGTCTACAACTCTTGTGTAGTTTGTTTCTTTTGTCCTGCATGGTTTCTATGTTTTTATTTATATAATTCCACGATGTGTCATCACTTTCTTTTTCCGCCATTGTTGGCTTTTCACTTCGAAGACTATCCATATCACTTGATGCAGAGCCCGCAACCTGAGATGATTTTGGTCGGCAAACGGGGGATGCTCCGGTGCCGGCTTCGGCCGGCGTGACCAGCGTTTTTCTGTTCAGGCTTCTGTGCTGACAGACGACCCAGAAGTGCAGGAGACTTCGCCGGAAGCACCGGACGCAGCAGAAGTTGATGTGTGAATTTAAAGATACTTGAAGACAGTACTTGGCAATCATGCACTGTAACATACTGTAACTGGTAGTGTTTTTTTTGTTTTTGTTTTAGTCTTTCAGTGGCTATTGATCGGTTGCCAAAGGACAGAATCTTGTACCACTTTGGAGACACTGGGGGCATCTCAGGATCCTTATTATAATCCCTGATTCCAGCGTGAAACAAGGGTTTGACATGTTTCTATGGTTCTCAGCTCAGAATTAATCCCATCCATTTTCTCATTGTTGACATATATTTAATTTTATCATGTTTTTATATATTTTATCTTCTCCCAAAGGGACGTCACAAGTGACTGGAGGCCAAAAAGAGTGCGAGTTGATGAGGCTAAGCTCTCAGGCTTTTCATGCACTAAGCTCTCAGGCTCAGGTGGACGTGAATCCATTTGACTCCCTAATAATTACGTCAAACGGGTCGGTGAGGGCTGTAGAACCTTAGAAGGTTAGAGTGATCACGAGTGGGATCCTGAGAGATCTGAGAAGCCTGATGATTTGGGTTCCGTGTTTCAGTCGTCCACATTGTCACAAGCGTGACATATGCTGAACCACCCAAAGTCACGAAAGTTGTCTGGTGAAGCACACTGCGTTTCTGTTGGTCCACGTCCAAAATCTGCTTAAAAAGACATATGTGTGCACCTGAAGCGGAGAATCGCACTATTTTGCAGGCCTAATTTGAAGCATTATCATGCCAGGTTCTAAAACAGAATCAGCCATCCCATCACATGTCCAACCCTGGCAAACAACCCCCCTTGAACCCCCAACTTCAATGTTGGCATGTACTTCTCCGCAAGTAACACCAAAATGGCTGGTTTTTTAGAAGGCCTCAGCGTGGAGAGATGTCACACAACTTTGAAGTTGGGGGCCCGGCCCGGGGGCGTGCAGAAGGCAAGAATGGTTCAGAAATAGATTGCTGATGTTTTTTTGAAGAACCTGGAATTATAATGGTCATTTATCTATAGCACACAGGACCCCCCAAAGTCCTCTCAAGCAATAAGCTTCACGTCCACTCTCCAGGAGCTTTCATCCAAGCTGCATGGCTGGGAGCCTTCGAACACACAGATCCAGAAAGCTCCACAAAGCTGCAACCCCACCGGGTGCAGTGTAGGGCAAAACCGGGGGACGACCCAGGGCAAGACCGCTGAACAGAAGGACGACTAGGGAGGTTACCCAGGTTGACCGCTGTCCAGGTTTTGACCCGAGGCCGACAGCCATATGAATGCATACTTTCTAGTGATGTCATTTCACAAGTGCTTCTTATGTCTTATTATGGCGTGCGCGGGAAACAACAGGTTCTGATTGGTTGTCAAAGGCATCCCTTTTCTCAGTCAGTGGAATCGGTGGTTGACAACTTTCCGGCGCTTAGTTGAAACCATGGCTTTCCCAGGCAGTGCACCATGCGGAATGCGCGTTCGGTTACAGGGGTGCTGAGGAAGACACCATGTTTGAAGAAGTTCCAGCGCAAGAGTGCATAACATCCAGTCTCATCAAGTCAATCAAGCGCAAAGAATACACTTCAAGCAATAGACCAAGGAAGCGACATAACATTGTTTCAGAGGTTTGATGGCACAGTCGTTACCCCAGTCGTTAGGTGGTTGAGTAGTGGACCCCCATATTTGTCAATTTTGGGGTGCCAGTGCCATCGAACCTCTGTAAACCGCTGTAAAAGTGAACATGCACTTCACCAATCGACCCATCAGTCGGAGGGGCACCACCTTGCGCCTTTGCTTCTCGATACGCCAAGGCTTTACCCAGCTCTTGGGGAATTTGGTGCGAGGCCGGGCCTAGCCGTGGACATTTGGTGCGAAGAAAGGGATGGACCAATGAGCAAGGGGTAGTTGAGAAGGATCGTACAGAGCGAGTCCTCAATGCGAATTGTTTGGGGCACGGCATCTTGCCCTACAACCCTCGTGCCCAATACTGTCGTTGGCAATTCGCAGTGTATGGTGTTGGCATGTGTTGGCAATTCGCAGTGGTTTGGAAGCTTGGAGGTATGGTAGCATCATGAAATTAATTGCATTGTTGGGATGATTGGTGTAAGATGTGTGAAGTGCCAGTCCTTAGCTCCGCAGGTGTTTGTTTCGGGATCACTGATGAACCGAGGTGGTGCCAACAGGTGCTTGGACCCAAAGAGGGTTCCTGGGCACTTGTTGCCACCCAGAAACACCTGTTGGAAGGTCCAGGTATTGGAAAAAGGGAGAGATCCCCAAATGAACCGCGTGGAAGAACAAAGAGACCACAACCCAGGGGTCGGAGGGTTCCGATCGAAATACACACCCAGGCCCATAGGCCCATAGGCCCGTGTTCGTAAGTGTGCCAAGCTCGACCACATGAGCAGGAGCTCGCCTGGAAGATGGAGCCGATGCCTCAATCTCGTGAAAAGAAGAGTTTTGCTTTGGCTCATCTATAGCTATACTACATGCATTTTGCTGGGCCCTCTCCATTGAGGCAAAGCGAGTGTACCACACCACTTCCTCCACAAACAAATGCAGTGTTTGAAGCATGCCTCCTCCCTGAGGAGCAAGAAGTCACCGAATCGCAGTCCACAGTGGGGACCTCGGGATGAGTGGCTTAATTGCAGTGACTCCGGTCCCTGAAAAAAGGTCGCAAACGTCCCAAGCCCCCAGTCGCTCAACCATGCCACTATATGCATCAAAAGACATACGTGGAGGGGCATGTGTACCCCAACAAACATTACGGGAAGGTGCCCGGCTACATAGGCCCGCGGCAACGCTGTGTCCAAGGAAGGTCGGGTGCCGTGCAGCATGCCTGTAACCTTCCGTTCTAGCATGCAAAAACGCACGTGGCGCTGTTTTGTGACGAAACCTGACCTCTCAGCCAGACCGGTCGGACGGAAGGAGTGACTACTTGAGCTACACATGGTGTCTGCTAAGCCTGCTAAGTCTAGTGAAGCTGGAGTGTTCAGGAGCAGTGATTCAACCACCCAAACACATCACAAGTGGAAGAAGATTGAACACGTACAAAGCGTTTGGACCTTCACCTCCCGCATGGGAAACACATCACATGATGGGTGTCATGTATCTTAATGGGTAACCTCCTGGCCCTGCTTGGGTACTGGTCTATTTCCCTTCTTCTAGGGGGTCAAACGCGGGTCGGTCTCCCTATTTGAGCTACACAGCCAGTTGGTCGGACCCACATGGACCCACACAAACAATCAAAAGCACCTTTCTTTATTGTTTGTTTGTCGTTTGCTCTTCCGCCATCGCCATCGCCATCACCCTGCATGGTGAACGCCGAACGGCCGGGCGGGTCGGAGCCGCCCCTTGCGTTCTTCCGGGCGCTTGCGATGCCAGGAGGCTCCGTCGTTGGGGGCTCAGTGGGCGCTGGGCAGAGGCGGATGCTCCGGAACTCGACTGGAGAGACATCTGTAATTATATAGAATATACGGTTCATGGTTTCAGGGTAGATGGAACTGGCACCCCAAGATATGTTCTTAGTTTTTAGATAGATGAGGGTCAATATTAACCACCAACAGTGGGGATTGGGGATTGTGCCATCTACTCTCAATCCACTATACGTTAACAAGTATGGCAAGTGAAACAGACACAAGATTTCTTGATCGGGAGATACTGATGCAGATTATTGATGCTATAGTGGTCCCCAAATATATAAACACGTTTTCCAATACATGTTGAAAGAAATTTTACTTTTCAATCTACTTGGGGTCTATATAAGCCAAGGACCTGCCAAGGACCTGCCAGGGACTGATGCTAGTTGGATCTTGCAACTGAGGTTTGGGTGACTTGTTTCAATACTGCAGGCAAGGTGGAATATGGCACCTTTCAGCAACACATCCGTTGGAACAGGCAGGTGGTTGGGAATTTGTTACACGACACCGAAGCCTTTTGAGCCTTTTGCGCATGAGATTTTCCAGACTTTGCACCCCCCCCCCGAGGTGAGACAGACCCTCAGAAAAACACGCCTTTTCTTGGGGAATTTGATTCAAAGTCTACTCTAATAACATATGACAGAGGTTTCAGAGTAGATAGCACTGGCACCGGCACCCCAAGATGTCTTTTAAGATAGGGTTCCATATAAACCGACATTGGGGATTGTGCCATGTACTCTGAAACCGCTGTGTCTTAACTGTTGGATCATTAGCACGTCCGGTAGTGTTCCAAGCCTGTGAAGAAAGGCTTTTTGGCGTCCATCGTGCTTCGGAACCACTCGAGCAATTTGTTTGTGATTGCCTGCAAGTATGTTCTTGCTCGTGACTTCTTGTGGCTCCAGTGACCACTTCTTTGCCGGCGAGCAAAGAATCAGCTCACGTTGGTTTAGAGAAATTCTAAAACACTGAGTCTCGGCTCATTTGGGGCTCCATGGAGGGGGATTTGAAGCGATTGTGATAGCTGTCTATGTCTATGTGTCCCCATTGAGGGTGATCGAAACCAGGAATCACATGGATTTTTTGCATGAAACTCAGTCTGTTGGGCCGAATGGTTGTGGGGGATCGATTCACCGATGAGTGTTCCCATCTCAAGGAAGCATAGAATGAACTCGAACATCGATGTTTGGTTTCTCACAAAATGCAAGTGCATGTTGATTTGAGTACTGTAGTTGTCGATACCACGTTGATGTATCTTCGACCCCTTTCATTCACATATGATGCTTGAACAGAATGGATCCTTCCTTTGCCATGGCAGGGGACGTAGCGTTTTCCCCTTGGTCGTCACTGGTGGTCATTCCTTTTCCACTCTTAGCACCCGATCCCATTCCGATGGTTGACCTCCTAATGCCCACTTCGTCACTTAGCGCATCGTCGCTGACCAGCCTCTTCTTGCTGGAGACCAGGATCACCGACCCCAAAAATTGGGTTCGACCTCAGCTGAGCTGGAATTTCTATCACAATCCCCTTCTGTTGAGCCCTTCGAGACTTGACGGTTCTTTCGTATTCCGAGACCTCAAAGCTTTTTGGTCAGCATCTGGCAGATTTACCCTGCAGACAAGTCTCAGACAAGACATCTTTGTTTTACTATTTGATGTTTTTTGATGTTTATCTTTCGTATAATATTGCAGTAGGCAATGAGGGGCTCTGGGCTGAAAATGTTTGATTTGGTACTTGGACTAGTCCTCCGCACCAGTGATGAAGCACACAATCACCAATCCCACCATTCCGCGTTTGTGGGTCACCCCGCAAACTTCACTTGGGGCTTTCATAGAAAAAGGCCCTGAAAAAGGCCCAAACGTGTGTTTTTCATTGGTGAAGAAAGGGTGTGGGAATTGGAAGATCGGATGAACTCCACCAACCCACCTCAGGATGAACTCCATGACATTACGATGCTGGGCCTTGATCTTGGCCCTCATTGCCCCTTGGTGTCGTCCTGCTTTGCCGTCTGGAACACCGGTCCAGAGATCCAGTGATCCTGGCGGTGAACGTTCCGTTCAGCTGATGCAGCTGCTGCATTGGCAGCGTGACCATCAGCACCATGTTCTACTCATTTTTTTTCAGTTGGCACCTGATTCTGCAACCATAGCCAAATAGATCAGTTGATAGTAATCTGTTATAGTAATCTTTAATCGTTTGACATGTTTAACATGTTTAACAGGGGAAGACAAACCATCGAACCATCCATTTCGGAATGAGTGTATGTCAATGGTCTTTCTACATACCAAGACTGGCTCATGTTCTTTCATCATGTTTCTTCAGGCAGCTCCGACTAGCGGCCCATGGTAGTTGAGGTTTTCACCACCTACCATTCCATGGTTGGAGGAAATTGAGTTATTCTCCCATGCCATTCAATTCGATTTAATTGCATGTGATGTGTTCATTGGGGGGTGTAGCTCAACATCTCAGTCCTTCTCTGGATCGTACTCTCCATCCCTTGCCAGACCTCTCTCAATTCGCTGAGGTTCAGCCCCTCGTGGCCATGCGACCAGCAGCTTGGTGGTAAACATGCCGGAACCAAAATCGTATTCTGCGCAATCCCCTAGCGCTGTGGTTGACTAACATTTTTCTGCAAGTGTCGATGGAATGTATTTGTTTGAGGATCTTCCGCAGGAAATGTTTCCTCGCTACTTTTGGTTCGCAAGCAGATTATAGACTTAGAATGACATGGAATTTGCTTCGGGGAAGTTAGGAAATGCGTTTCTTTTCTTTCAAGATAATGCTGGGTTTGTTTGTTTATTTTTTAACGATATCTCCCAGTGACAAAGTTGCAGAATTTGTTGCACCTTTCCCTCCCACCAACGGGGTATGGCTTTTGGGGGTTCTCTTCCCGAATCCGCCGTGCCGATTCGGTCGAGAAGCCGCAGGCGGTCTCCTTGCGGGCCGATTCGGCGGCCTATGCCGAGCTGGTGCAGAAATTGCGCCAGGGCAGAGAGGAGAGCGAGCGAAGAAACACCGCGAAGAAACGGTGCTGCCCCGCGTTTTCGTGAGAAGTCCAGATCTGCGAGCCAGTTGTGATATCAAAAGATCTGTCACTTCAAACAGTCTTCTCTCCTTCCATCGCTTATTAATGCTTATTAGGCATGAAGATCTTGCAGCGCTATTTCATTTTTTAAGATTATAATTGCAGAGTGTATGTGATTTGTGAAACCATGAACTTCCGTAAAGGTGTCCCATAGAAACACCCTAGTTTCTTCGGAAAGAAATTTGTCAGATTGGTTTGGGACCTGCAGCTCCAGGATGACTTGCAATAAAAGCGGCGGCAAGCAGGGGGCACACCAACCAGACTCACCCCCTTGAGGCAGCTAGGTGTGGTAGAAACCAGATGTTTGAGTAGATCACACGTCCGTTCGTCTCCCAGAACGTCACCTCTCGTAGGTTTTAACGGTTCTTGAGCGCTCACATCCCGACTCACATCCCGACGAATCCCTACGACTACGAATCCCTACTCGACACGTCGATCCTTCCATCCGAAAGCAGGATTGCCACTCTGCCATTGATGTGGTGTTTCTTTTGGATGGAAGTTGGAGCGTCGTTTGGCCGAAGAGACGAGCAGGGCAGGATTCGGATGCAGGATTCGGACCCCAGTCATGGACATCTATCAGTTTGGACAGGCAGTGAAAGACACAGACCCTGCTATGTGACAGATCCCATGCACATCCATTGTTTGTTGATCAGGGTCTTTGTCTTTGCAGTCGTCGTCCTTTCTTGGTGGTCGAGCCAAGCAACAAGAATCCCCTTCCAAATGTAGGGAATCTATTCAGGAAGAAGTTTTGCAAGCAGTTTATGTCCTTCATGAATCATCAGTCGCATCAGTCAAACAGACTGTGCTTGTGGGCCATTGCTTTATGTCCTTCGGTCCCATTCTGTTGTGGGGATTCACTCCGATTCCCCTTCAGTCTTCATGTCCTGTAGGCCGATTCCCTTCGGCGTTCCTCATGTTTTCAGTGCCAGTCCTTCAGCCAAAACAGCCCTTCCGACCGCCCAGGTCAAGAAACCCGACTGGAAGGCGTTGAAAGAATTTATGACGAAGACCGCCCGGAGACCCACCGAGCGTGCCGTGAAATCCGCATGGGATGTCCATTTGGGCAAAGGTGCAGGACACGGTGGGATGTCCATTCGAGCTAAAACCTCTACCAAATTCACTCGTCAAGTGTTCTGTTAGTATCTACTCCAGGTCATAGTTCAACGAATTAGAGGAAATCCTATTATAGTTACGATCTATGGCAGCATGCCAGGGCGAAATTCCACTTGCTTCGTGAGATGTTTGAGTGAGAAGATAATGCTCTTTGTTTCCCTCCAATCTTCCAACCAGGTGTCTTCAGCTCGCGACCCAGGTGCAACGCTTCCAAATTGGCCCAGAGAAGCTCCAAGTGGGCATTGTGCAATTCACCGGAAGTGCTCAACAGGCGCATTTCTCTTCACCGGCAAGAGAAAGGAGTTGTTTGGTCTTACTTCTATATAACTATGGTCTTATAGATGTCTATAGTCTATCTATGGACGTAGCAATTAACCATATAGACCATCCAACGGGTGTCCATATATGGAGATCCCATCTCTTTAGTGCTTTTGGAGTCCCCTTTCAATGGAGACCAACCGAGATACCGTCCGCAGAGCTCTCCCGGAGCTCTCCGCGGCGCTCTCCAGGAGATGAACTTCAAAAGCTCCGCAGAGGAGATGTGACCGAAAAGCTCGCGAGTGAGTGGAGATTCCCGCTAAAAGTTCCTCTTTTTCTTAAGGAGCGGCCCCAGATCACCATGCTAAGCCTTTCACCTATATAGATCATTTAGAGATCAGGTGAAAATCCATCCATCTCGCCATTATTGTTGGGAGGTCAAAATGTGTGGTTCTTCCAAACTGGTTTTGGGGTCCAGTACAAGGCAGTATAAGATCTCTGGCGATGAATTCATGTTCATTGGGTGCATGGACCTCTACTCTTTGTTTTTTGCGGGGATGTCCAGGCTGATGACCAAACGATCTGAAAACAGAACAACAGCAAGTCACTCATCACGTTTCTCATGCAGGAGATCGCTGAGGGGATTCTGAATCTGGAGCAGGAGGGCGGTTTCACCAGCGTCAAGGCGGTGTCCCGCGCGGTCGGGTTCCGACGCGCCTTCCGCGAAGGACATGGTGCTGACCATGCCCGACATGTTCTCTGTTTATATGGGGTTGGGTGTTTTCAGTTCCCAGATTAGTGTTTTCCCTTCCCGTGGTGTTTCCTTTTCCCAGATTGGTTTTTTCGGTTCCCGTGGTGTTTCTGGTTCCCAGGTCTTGGTGTTTCCAGTTCCTGGATTGGTGTTTTTCCTTCCCGCCTTCGGTATTGGTTTTTTTGGTTCCCACTCTTGGTGTTTTCCCTTCCCGGAGTTCTCCCCCCCAGGTCTGTGTGTTTTCAGTTCCTGGATTGGTGTTTTCCTTGCCCAGCTCCTGTGTTGGTGTTTTTGGTCACCAGGTTTGGGTGTTTTCAGTCCTGGACAATGTGTTCCCTGCCCGGCTCCTGTGTTGGTGTGCCCTTTCACGTGTTTGTTTGTCAGCTTTCGTTTGAATTTCTGGCTACCATTGCCCACCGCTGGATTTGAAAGCACGTACTCGTGTCACACAATTAAACAGACAAAGAACACTGCAAAACCGTCAAAGCCATTCGCTGTAAAAACATGTCAGTTTGCGTAAACCCACTGCCGCAAAAACACAAGGTACCCGGTGACACCATCATAACCGCGCACTGTACGAACACATAGACGAAAGCATACAGAGCTTCATTTTTGGCCATGAGCGCTGGGAGACCCTCAGCGAAGAAGACGAGGCAGGTGGTACAAAGTTATCTATCATGTAGTGTATCGCTCCTACCATGCCGTTACACCGCTGGATTTGAAAGCACGTACTCGTGTCACACAATTAAGCAGACAAAGAACACCGCACTGTACGAACATATAGACGAAAGCATACAGAGCTTCAATTTTGGCCATGACGCGCTGGGAGAACCTCAGCGAAGAAGACGAGGCAGGTGGTACAAACTTATCTATCATGTAGTCTATCGCTCCTACGATGCCGTTACAACTTGGCATGTAACCTTGTACCAGGCCAACTGGTGCTGGACCGCCAAAGACTATTTGCGCCAGCACTGTGCCCTTACAGTGAAAGCACCAGCCTGTAGCTTAATTGCAGCTGCTTCTGCTTACTTAGCTTTGCGCTGCTAAATCTGAGCCTACCAGGTTGGATTCCTCCGCTTCGCTGTCGTTTGGCCCCCAGCTGCAGCAGTACTGTTTGGTTCTGCAGCACGTAGTTTCGCTCTTGTCCGTGCTTACTGCTGTGCTGGCTGTTGCTGTTCCCGCTGTTCTTGCGGCCGCTGTTCCTGTCGCTGTCGCGGTTGTTTCTGTTGTTGTTGTTGTTGCTGTTGCTTCTGTTGCTGTTGCTGTTGCTGTTGCTGGATGCGGCTGCTGCTGTTGCTGCTGCTGGTGGTGCTGCTGCTGCTGCTGCGGCGGTTCTTCTTTGCCACCTGTCCTTCTTTGTCGCCTGTCCTGCGTTGCTCATTCTGCCTTGTCAGGATGAGCCGGTGCGCGACGAGGCTCGTGCGCCAAAAGCTTGCTCTAGACTCCTCCACTCCATTCAGTTGCATGTTTGTCTTCAGAGTCTACAATCGATGTTTTGCTACTCACACTGGCAGGAGAGGCGTATGGAAGTGGCCTGGCCGTCTTCCACAGCTCCTTCATGACCGTGTGGCGAATGTATCAAATGATCGCATGCCATGCAGCCAGTCCTTTACTGCTGTGCGGCTGTTGCTGTTCCCGCTGTTCTTGCGGCCGCTGTTCCTGTCGCTGTCGCGGTTGTTTCTGTTGTTGTTGTTGTTGTTGCTGTTGCTGGATGCGGCTGCTGCTGTTGCTGCTGCTGGTGGTGCTGCTGCGGCGGTTCTGCTGCTCGTTGTCGTTGTAGTAGTAGTAGTAGTAGTTGTTGTTGTTGGTGGTGGTGGTGGTGTTGTTGTTGTTGTTGTCGTCGATTTTCGCATGTTCTTTGTTGATCGTTGTTGGTCGTCGTTGTTGGTCGTCGTCGTCGTCGTCGTTGTCGTCGTCGTCGTCGTGGTTGTTGTGGTCGTTGTTTTTGTTGTTCGTGCTGGTCGTGGTGGTGGTGGTGGTGGTGGTGGTGGTGGTGGTGAAGGTGGTGGTGGTAGTGGTGGTAGTGGTTGTGGCTTTTGGTGGTTCGTGTTTGTTCGTGTCTTTACAACAATTCTTTCGCGTTGTCCCGCGACAACACAAGACTCCCACCATTTCACACGGGATCACAGCACACCCGACACGGGAACCGAAAACACCGGACGCGGGAACCGAAAACATCCGTGCATTTTTCCCTCTTCAACGCAAGGCGGGTACCGAAAACACCATCACAGGAACTGAAAACACCCGCGGGCACTGAAAAAACCGAGCCGGGCACCGAAAACACCGCCGCGCGGGAACCAAAAACCCACTTGGGAACCAAAAACACCGCGGGAACCGAAAACACCAACGCGGGAAGAAAAAACACCGCGGGAACCAAAAACACCAATCCGGGAACCAAAAACCCGGAGCCCGACGTTTATATGGTGGAGTGTAGGTAGACCACACGTTTAGGACTCAGTGCTGACCATGGCTCGCGGTGGAACAAGGAACATGTTGATGGTCCATCAACAGGATCCTTTCTTCGGAAGTGGTCCAGACTGGAGCCTTTTTCACCTTTTTCACTTCCATGTTTGTTTCGGCAAAGGCACTGAGGTTGTGGCCGGTTGGTCACCCCCAAAACTGGGCTTTCAGCGCATGTGTTGGCACCACTTCCCAAACCCCAAAACCAGACGACGAACAAAAGCTTCGCTGAGTTCATGCTGAAAAGAAATGACAGGCTGGCTTGGAAGAGACTCAGGAGCTCTTCGAGAATCACCATCGGAAGGCGTGGTCCTCATGGGTGCTCATGACTCATGAGGGTTGTGGAATCGTGGAATTGGAATTCGCAAGGCTCTCTTGTGCTTGTACAGATTTCTTCTAGGCTTGTTGAAAGCTCTGTTTTCATGACATTGCGCTTTTTCCTGCCCAGGATCTATCAGGTTTTGGAGGCAATCAGCTTCTGTTGGTTGTTGTTGCTGTGGTCGCTCTTGTCTTCTAGCTCTCAGCGCAGTTCTAGCCCTAATTCTTCATCAAATTCATTATTCCTACATGTTCATCATTGTTACACTTTAGCAAAATAACATAGCTCAAAAACCAAAAAAAACATATATATATATATATTAACACGGAACGCGGCCAAGCCCCCAAGTAGCCTAATCTAGAACAGGAGTCCAAAATGTCTCCTCCAAGATGGAGAATTCTATGTTAGTCTCAGGTCCCTCTGTCCAAGCAAGTGCTATGTTAGGTTTTCTCCCTTTTTCTGCGCTGCTGGTCCCGAGCTGAAGGTCCATTAACAGCCCTCTTTTAGGGCGCATTTGTTCTGTCCCCTTTCAACTATACAGTAGCCGTTACAGCACAGTACAGTACAATAACATAGAAAACGGTCATGATTGTGTTTAGCAATACTGTAAAGTACAGTACAGTAAAGTGCAGTACAGTATACAGAACAATAGAGACAAGTGCTTTACAGTACATCCATTGTCTTGCACTTCTTTCCCAGGTCCCCAATTGAATGCCGAAAACCAGACCCTTTGAGACTCTCACCCCGTGAACGAGGCGCGGCGCATCGTGGTGATGATCGCCGACGGGGATGTGGATGATGGTTCCACGGAACTGGCACGAGAGATGGAGGAGGAAGACGACACCATCATCTTCAGCTCTTTGGCTTTTGGACAACGTTTTCTTTTTTTTTTTTTCGGCCGTGGCTTTAGCTGGTTTACCGGTTTACCTGTGAAGGCGTGGATATCATACTATAGTATACTATAATATACTATCTAACACCCTAATAATTAATATCACGAAAGTTCATGTAGTGTGTGTGTATATATATATATATACTATCCACCCCACCAGAAATTGGGCACTGAAACAGGTCTTATATAGATTTCTGAGCCTCCAAACTGATGAACATAGTACTTATATTTGCTAGAAACTGACTCATTCTCTCAACATGGGTGCTGCTGAGCAGTTTTGTCGGTGTCACTGCTGCAAAGTGGCATCGTCATGCTTGGTCGGAGTGGCTTGGCCTGAAATGGACTCTGAAGACACAGTGGGAAGCACCGTTTCTGAAAGCTTGCGGGTATCACATGCTATCACCGCACTGATTGAAGGTTGGTGATTTAAAGTTTGATGAACCAGTTATGAGCGTGACTGGGTCTGACTGGGTCATAGGGCTCTGGCCAGGTCCGCTCTTTCTTTTGCTTCACCTCACGGGCACTTGTGGCTCGACTCGTCAGGTCCTGGCAGACTCGTCAGGTCCTGGCAGACTCTTTGGTTGGTTTGCTTTGTCATGATCAAAAACCGGAGACGAGCAACTGAAAGTGGGTGTTATTGGTTTCTTTATGGTTTCATGGTGGATGCAGTTTCGAGCATGGTTCAATGTCCCAGATCATAACCCTCGGATTGAGATGCCTCTATATGCTTGTTTTGAGAGAACGTCTTCCAAGCATTTTTGACCGACACATGTCAAGGTGTTGCTGTTGGCGAAGAGGCCAAGATCGAGGAGCTTCTCATTTGACAATGTGGTTTTTCTTGTGCTGGGATTCTACAAACCGCTCATCTTGAATCAGCTGCTCCTTTTGCTATAGGCTAGAAACCATCGTTAGCATATCCCAAAAAAATGTGTGGCATATATATATATATATGTGATGATTTTACATGATTTTTGCATCTCTTCTCATTGTTCACTGTATTTTTTCTCAAGGGTTTACATGTTATTCTCCGTTGTCAGATCCACTCACCCACTCACTGACCTTCGACCGCTCTTCGCTCTTCGCACCCGTTGATGTCAGGAGCTCAAGGAGGTGGCCACCAACGGAAACCTTTTCTTCAAGGCGCCCAAGCGCAAGAACCTGCAGGGCCCATGGAGTCAAAGACGTTCAATTCGAGAGCACCAAGACGTTTGGTGTTGGTTTCGAGGAAGAAGCCTTAGGGGTGACGGACGAAAGACAAGAGGAAGAGCATAATATATACTTTACCAGGCATTTTGTGCTTTGCTGGCATGCTGTAGCCCGATATTTCCAGATATTTGGGCTTGGGGGTCCATGCCTTCATTCCATGCCCAACAGCTGGGTTTCAGGTGGAGAATTATGGCAGCCTGGACCGGATCGCGACTTGGAATGGGACATGGGGAAAACCGAACTCGTGTACCTGTCGATGATTCGTTCCATGTGTTTGCGGGTTCATGCTTGTTTGTTGCATACCGGTATGTAGCTGGTGCTCAAGCTTTAGCTTTGTTTGAGAGGTCCTTTGATTGGTTCATTGATCGTTACATGTTGTGACAATTTGGCTGATGTGACAGCTGCCAAGCAAGAAATACGACAATATCAGAGTGCCCGAGGCGCAAGTAGATTTCCACAACGTTCCTGTTTGGTTTTGGTAATGCACCATTCAAACCGAAGGTAATGGAGCCTCCACCAGTGAGAAGTTCAAAGGCTGTCCTGGCCCAGAAGAGAAATCTTTTGTCCCTTCTTGGAGTTGAGCATATCCATCTTCAGTTGCCCAGTATATCCAGTGGAATCTTCCAGGACCTTCAATGCAGAAATCGTGCATGATAAACCATTGACAAACACGTCAAAACCATACTTGAATCATCTTAAGCTGTTTGAATCTATGTTACTTTCCTTTAACTCAAGCTGGTTGTATAATGGAGACATTCACCGACCTCCCCATGAATCGCACCGAAGGACCCATCCGATCCGCCTGTAACGATCCGGTTCAGCGACCGGTTCAGCGATCGGTTCAGGTGAACAGCATCTCCAAGTACAGCTGTGAGGTGGCCGATGAGGCACACTCGGTGCTTGTGGGACCCGCATTTTCGGTTCCACAGGTCCCACCTCAGCTTTGGGAGACGACCTGCGATGAACCTGCTGGTTACTGTAACGACCTGGTCGGCTCGGCTGTGCCCAAAAAAGAGGCATTGCAAAAAACGGGTGCCTGATGCTGTCAAACCTTTCTCAAGTTTCTCAAAGCCTTCATCGACCACCAAGTAAAGAAGATGTTGTTGCACCAATTAGGGGCATCCCAAACCGCAAGCCTCAGATGATCGAAGGTTGACCTGCCTGATCTGGACCTCCTGCACGCACCAATAAGACTAGCACAAGTCTTTTTGCAGTTGTTTGCAATATTCTAATATGTTTTAATGTGTTTTCCTGAAAAGAACCAAGGCGTCCCTGTGTAAAGGCTACCTTGGTGTTTGGGTTTGATGATCACAGTGGACGCTGGACGGAAGCCCATGGGAGCCCTGTCCGAGGCAGCCGACACGAAGAAGGTGAAAGACATCGACTTCGAAGCTTTGAAGGCCACCAAGGATACTCGGAACTAGCAGATTCGACAGGATGTTATATAGGATGAGTTGGAGGAAAACAATGGTTTGGTTTAGGTGTTTTAGAGCTTCGGCAGATCATTACAGTTTGATGATATGAAGGTGCTTTGGTGTCTCTGAAGTCTGAACTCAGCTACATAATCACTGTTGTACAGACGCTTTGCTTCGAACGGGCTTTTGAAGGGGGTCATTCCAAGCCTGGGGAACCCAGCATAGCAGAGCCGATCTTGGGATCTTCACATGATTGGATGGTCGAATCATGCAGCCGTTTCACGCGGCAAGATAGCACACAGTCTCAGTTGGATCCCAAAGGAGTCTCCTTCTGAACTTCATCCATCTGGGAAGATCCATGTGGACCTCCCCCCCGGGCTGGTCCATGATCCAATGATCGCGGCTCAGGAAAGCCAGGAAAGCGGATCGCAGGACGGGTGGTCCAGTGGATCGGTTGTGGTACAAGCCAGTTGATCGCAGATTGAGACCAAAACTTCGATCGAAGATTCAACATTCAACCCGAGCAACGTCTTCAGAGAGAATGAGAGAGAGAGAGAG